TAAGCCTTCCGGTTTCAATTTTGAATTGAAACTAGGTGCATAATTTTCAGTAAAATTAAACTAAACCTTAATATTTATCAGGTATGCAGTGAAATACATTTGTTAATCGTACCTTTCCACGTTGCTTAAACATTAGCATCTGGCCAAATAACATCATATTCTTTGATGTCGTACTTCATAGATTTACATACTCGGCGCCTGAAAGATTATAAGAAAACATGTTTAAAATGATTTAATATTTAACAGTAAAAAAAACAATAAATGTATTAAAATATGATGAAGTTACCCAGTTCATTATAATACACACTGATACAAATAGTACACCAGTAAGTAATACGTACAAAAAACTAAATCTGATAATTTAGAATTCCTTCCAGAATATTCTAAATTATATTACCAATGCAGTCAACAGCAATGAGGTGTTACTATTAATGGAAAATAGAACTCCCTATAAAATACAAAATAACCTACAATAAAAGAGAGTCTGTTTACAAAGGGATACCGCAAGGTCGAAATATTTTGAACCCATGATGAATTGTTAATGTAGCCTATATATTAAGCGAATCAGTAAAATAAAAATAAGAGCTTCTTTTAAAACCTAACGATACTTACGTTTCTTCATTAGAAGACAATAAACACTTCAACAGTACACTAGATCGGGCTGTGCTCAGAAACAAGTATGGTCCCATACATTGATATGCTTTGTTATAAACGCTGTTTAGTGCAATACCCATTACAATTTCTTTATTTCCTGCTGTGGTTATCAAAGGTCCACCGTGATCGTTCTGTAAATAGAAAATATTATGGCAAATCGGAATCCATTTTTCAGTCGGCACAATATGAGTTTTGTTACTTTGAAGATAGCCTAATTCTAATATTCCAACGACTTCAATGTAATGCTGGCTAACGTTTTTTTGCTCACCACATGGTGTTTGTAGAAAAGGGTTTTTGTCTAATCACAGTAGCTGTCAAATATTCAACGTTCAATAATGTGACATCAGCTAATTCACTATTGGACAAAAAACGATATGTTCAGACTAGCGACATCTAGTGAGCGAAAATGCAGTACGTCCCATCGAATTCAGCTATTCAATTCTTGACTTTACTTGTAAAATTTGTACTATTTTTTATCTAGCCCTTGGGCTAGATAAAAAATAGCCCTTGGGCTAGATAAAAAATAGTACAAATTTTGGATTTGAATAAACATTTTACCTGACATATTCCTCCCAACTGCGACATCTGTATTTCATTTTTACTGATAACCGTTTCATTTTCTTTCACATTATTCAAAGTGCTATCATTCATATTTCCTCCATTATAAGTATTTACTTCGGGAACCTGATGTTCGTTGGCTTTTCGATTGAACAATACTTCAGTTATTTCTAAACACTAAAACATAATTCTATAGACAGTTTAGTCAAATGTATAGAAGAGAAGAGTAGCTTGCTCACTATAAGTGATAAGACCGCCTTTGTGCCCATTATTATTTTTATTTATATTTGTCATTTCCTTTTCTGTATGTACTGTATTATTAATGGTGTACAATAAAGTTATATTCTATTCTATTCTATTCTATTCTTGTAAAGAAAGTGTGGGAGAGCCATGCTTCGGCATGTATGGGCCGGCTCGACCAGAGTGATACCATGGCCTCACAGAAAACCGACGTGAAACAACGCTAACGTTGTGTTTCGTCGTGTGAGTAAATAAAACTAAAATACCGGGTACCGGAGGCCCAATCCTCCCCCCCACAATCCTCAAATTCCCAATTCCAAAAAGGCCGGTAACGCACTTATACCGCCTTGGTGTTCTAGGTGTCCATGGGCGACGCCGATTGTTTACCATCCGGCGATCCGCCTGCAAGTTCACCGGCTTTTGCCATTAAAAAAAATATGAGAGGATTTGTACTGACCTCTTTTGGAATAGCAAGACTCATATTGAAATTAGTATAATCACATTTATCAGGAGTTATTGAAGTTTGCGTAGTTACACCGACGCTGCCGGTCCGTTGCTTAGGTCGCTCAGGTAATCTTTGTGTACACAGAAAGTAATATTCCAACGATGCTGGAATTTGATTCCGGCAGAACGATTTATTCGTCAAAACTGTGTATGCTTCCTTTAAGTATATGGAATTAGTATCGTTGTTTACTTCTGGCTGCAAAATTAAAACACAAATGTTATGATTTTCGCTTCGATGAAATAAAATCAATGCCTTGTGTTGCTCCTAGCCTTATTTCTATATCTGGAGTTCGAATTCAATACTCCGACAAATTGCTGTTGTGGATGTTTTAGTTCTAATTAATCCTTACTATGTGGAACAAGCCCATAGGTGCTTATGGGACGACGTGCTCCATCGTAGACCGCATCATCGCTTACCACCAGGCCAGAGTGATCAAACGTCAGCCCATCAAATATAAAAAAGTCCTCCACAAACCGTTAAAACTACGGCAACACCTGTAAGCCAGGATTCATAGAAGATACAACCATGAAAACACCGGAACACTGAAGTCCGGCACGTCCCAGGGACATGAATACTGCCTTGGTTGCCGCAACGAAATAAATCCTTCATATTTCCTCAAAACGCTTCTTTAATTACTCGCTCTATTTTGGATTATCACAATTCCAAACTTGATTTCCCAAAGGTAAAGAATCTGTTAATTTATCTATATCTATGTAGTTTTAAATACTTACTCCTTTTGGCGTAGCCGCACCCCAACCGAGAACTAAGCCAAATGAATTGGCTGTCTCTATTTTAATATCGTAATTGATGGATATAGCTTCAGGTTCATAAGAGCATACAGTGCGGTAACTTGTATCAAGGAAGTCATAAGGTTTTTCAACTATTCCTATTCCAATATCGAATTTGATCCATAATGTTGCGTTGTAATCTGTGAAACGATTTTTAAAGTTATTTTGAGATGTTAGATGTTGAGGAGATGTCTTTGGCTGATTTGTTATTCGTTAGTTTTACGCAAATTTACTTTATGTTACAATGGTTATAATACATTTTATTAGAATCTATTTCTAATTTTGTCCACGTCCTGCATTTCAAATTGTGTTGATAAAAACCAGAATTGTTTTAAATTACTCAGAAATTTTACGAACTACAAAATTTGTTATTTACTCATTGTAAAATATTTTAATGCGCCTCCTATTATGGTTCGACCAACTGAACACGATAACAGACTTAGCAAGTACGATGCCATGAGGTTACTAGGGCAGCAGCAACTGCCTTCACGCCTTTAGACCACATATTGAACTTAGATGGAATACTTCCAAACCGATTGTTACTTCATAAACATTATCTTTATAATTAGTCACCAGCTCACCTTTATAAACAATAATCTTGACGATTTTTTGTTTTCTCGTACGAGTGCATTCATCTTTATCAATATTGTTTCCACTGACGTATTTCTTGTATCCAGCGATCACATAAATCTGAGTTACTTCAGTCAAACACGCTGCTGCTGTCAGGACTTGTGTTGGTGAGATTATGACCCCTCCACATAGCCATGAGTCTGGTTGATTTTGTGAGTATTGCGAATTGAGTAGATACACCTAGAATTGAGATACGTATTATCTCTCAAAAACTGAATACATTTCATTGTCCAGAGGCATCGTCGTCGTATGCTGGTGAACACTTCTGTTATGCATAAAGTTATACTGAAATGCTACTTAATTATAAGTTGTACTTAATGTCGAGCATCTCTGTAGTTTTATAAGAAAGTTATATAAATATTATTGACAGCGTCTTAAATTGAGTAGCAGTTCAAGGACGACACTGCCTCGTTGGCAGAGTGGTCGCAAGTGCGATTGCTCGGTGTCGGGCAAAGTAGCATTGGGCTTTTAAAAATAATCTCAGTAGTAGCACGGAGTCTGGAATTGTGTCCGGTATGTGGCAATTGGCTCACCCCCTATTACATAACATAAAAGTGAAAAGTGGGTGTTACATTGTACAGTGGTACTAAGTGCCGCAATGTTCACCTCTGCCTACACTTCAGGAATAAAAGGCATGATGTTATGTTATGTTCAGAAGACGAGACTTAAAAGAGTTTAAAGAAACAAAAAAGTAAAACAACTGATAGTAGTTGAACCTACCTACGAAACAAGAATTTTTATGTAGTAAAAAGGTCTTACTAGAAGACTTACCATGTAGTTTTTCCCATTTTCAACGACTTTCCCATTTGTTATTCTTCTGTCACATAGGCTAACTGTATAGTGTAAATATATATGGATAAGAAAATGTGTTAACGAAATCTTTCAAAAGTAAATTAACATTGAATAAATACTTCTTTAGAGGTCTAAAGAACTAAGGTTGAAAAGGTAAGGCAATTGGGTACTTTCCTTAATCAAAAATAAATTATTTCGATTGTTCAATACAATAAAATATTTAAAAATAATTACACTTTTACTAATTGATTTTATGACCAACTTAATTGAAGTATTTTTTCAGCAAATTAAAAAAAAATAGTATGCTGTTTGACGCAAAAAAAACGTGACGCACAATACACAATCTCGCACAAAATTGATAGAAAACTGTCGTTTTTGACAGTTCGAAAAAAGTATTGAAATTGACTAGTTGGCAAGTACCCAATTAATTGCTCTATACTTTTATACAATCATTGATCAAACATTTGATAAAACTGAACCTTTTAAACTGGGACTATAGCAAACCCCTCTAACGTAAAAGATGTCCACAGTCCAAGGGTGGACTGTTACGGATTGTTAGTATGACAACGCCAGCTAAAAATAAGGCAACGATTGTTAAACCCGGACACTAATTTCTAATTCGTATGACCTTAGTATACTTAACTCTGAAGAAGGTAATGAAGAAACAGGCATACAATATGTTCGACATGACTTTTCTAATAATATTTTTATAGCTTTTCTCTTGGAAGAAATAGCAATTATTCTCCAAATCACTTAATAGTATTAACGACGTGGAACCGTGCGAAAAATAGTAGTATTATGAGACTATGCCACAGAAGGTCGATATGAAAGAAAAACGCTTACAGAAGCAAATAACAGTCATTTACATTCACAATTCATTACATTTATTCACTTAAAATTATTTTTTATTTGAAAACAATATTGATCACAAAAAGCCTTTGATAAATCTGCCAAACAGCGCCAATCCTGGTTGGTTAATCTTCTGGTACCAGGGTTCCTTCTTCAGTCGGCTCCACCAATCGTGAAGCCTTCTATATTTCGAATGTATGGGTACAATACAGTCTAATGATGATATAGTGGTGACACACGAGATATCGGCCAAGGTCAAAGTATCGCCCGCAATGTATTGATCCGTAAGATACTTCTCAGCAACATCATAACATTCCTTAATATCTGTCTCCTGTGCTTCTGTCATTGGTATTCCATGCTTCACAGTACTATAAATAACAGTCTTCAACCTTGGGAATAGTATGGACGCGTCAAAAAACAAACGTTGATTGACTATCGCCCTTGCTGCCAAATCTTTAGGGTACAAACTCTCGTGTTCTATACCATATTTTGACATTAGGTATATCATGATTGCATGGCTGTCTTGAAGAACTAGACCGTCATCTTCTAATAATGGAACTGTGTGTAATGGATTCTTCTCTAAGTACTCTGGGTTGAATTGTTGTCTTGTAGGTAGATTCACTTCGCGAGTTTCGATTTTAAGACCGAGTAAGTCTACGAGGATGAGCGTCGCGCGAGCCGGCGGACTGACATCAGTTTTGTGTATTATAATCGTCATGACGTCTGGCGTCGACGGCGATGTATTACGAACTGAACTTGTTCCAAACATTGCCATTCGCTTATCATCCTGATACACAAATACTTACGACTTATCTATTTACTCATTTATCTAGATAATATTTCAACCGCTTTGGTCTGTGTTTTGGTCAACGTGTAAATGACGTCACTCGGTACTTTTGTAATCAAGTGGTGATAGATAGGAATGTAATATTAGCTCAGTGAGACTTAACTAGGATTTGCAAATGAATCGTTACACTTATCTATCGACAAGTATGCCTACGCAAAAATATGTTATTGTCATAAACATATTATTACCTTTTACTATGAATATAAATCACTATGGTGTTAAGCTTCAGGTCGGAGTTAAAACAAGTACCAAATTTAAGTTAAGGAGTCTTAGTGTTTTACTCGGACCCCTAAATTATATGTAACTTTCTGGACCATCAATGATTTTAAAACCTTTGAGGCCTTACGCAAGACACGGTATACTCTCTACTGTGTGTACATATACTGGCATACAAGAGGTTAAGCGTTAGACAAGTCTACGTTTTTTTGTAATAGTCTGTGTCACAATTTCATTGAACTCTACTTCAGACAATTAAAAGGAAGGGGGTAATAAAATAAAAACATATTATATGCTAACTACTTCCATATCAGGCAACTCATCATCAGCATTAACATCAGGGTCATTTGTTCTGGGTGACGGATGATTTTTTGTAGTAGTCTCCGTCGTCGGTGGCTCTTCTATAGGAGACCATAGTCTTGGCGGCGGATCGGAGTCAACCGACTGTTCTAATATATCGAAGTCGTCTAATATCTCTGCTGGACAATTCTTACGTCTGGAAGAAGGCATCAAATATTAAAGATATTAGCCTGATAAGTGAATTCACGGTTCTGATGAACCAGTAAGGCAAGGTAGATAAACAAAACGAATAGCCTACTTTTGGGTAGACGTGCTCCTTCGTAGGCCGCATCATCGTGCCGACTATATATCAAACATAGGAAAAAAGAATGATTTGAGTTAAAATGCGCTAAGTTTAACCCAAGTCAACTTTCTTGAGAAATTTTCTATACACACTCTACGAGTAAGAATGCTCCCTACTCCATCCCCACCCAAAAGGCCGGTACCTAACGCACTTGTATGTCCACTAATATTGCGATTATCCATAGGCGACGACGATAATTAGCCATCAGGTGATATTTTTTATGGGACAAGTCCACCACAACCTCCGCAGTGGTTTTGGGAATTTGTGGTGGGCTTGTCCCATCAGGTGATCTGTCAAATGTAGGTAGGTACTGATCGGTGATTAAAACATTACTTACGCGGAACTTTCATTACTATCTGTGAGTAGACACTTTATAATGTCGCCAGCAGCCGCTGTGCTGATAAATAAATATGGACCAATACAGTTGTAGTCAGAATCGTATAGACTGTTCACTGCTACTCCTATCAGAAGTTCTGTTGTGCCAACCCATGTGATGAGTGGTCCGCCATGATCGTTCTGAGATGTTAAATAGGTACTCAGTGTTAGGAAAAATTAAAACTACTTTTTTAGTAATAAAAGGTGCATCTTATTTGCGTTAGGCAAATTATTTAACGTGACCTTTCCATGATATAACGGGTATGTCTATTATCATCAATTTAGGCCTCCTTGCTAATATTGAGAATCTATTCGTAGTACACAACCCGTTTAAATATATCTTTTTCATTATATCCACCCAAAGGTTGTCTGGTAGAAATCACTTTAGGTAAGTGATAAGACCGTCTTTGTGGCCATTATTATTGTTTATTTATGTTTGTAATTTCCTTTCCTGTATGTACTATATTATTAATGGTGTACAATAAAGATTATTCTATTCTTTTCTTTACCTGACAGGAAGCGACATTTTGCTAGGACAAGCTAACTCATATAGCAATAAAATTGTCCCGCGAATCAATAGGTTCAACATGGGATATCTGACAATCCTGTCGGCTGACTGATCTTCATACGAAGCGTCAATGACTAACCCGTGTTAGGACATAAAAGTTGTTATATTTTACCTGACAAATTCCTTGTCTTCTAGATTGTTGTGATGTTCCCTTTTTATCGTTATTGCCCTTAATTCTACGTGTGTCATTTAATGTTACCTCTATATTATCCGAGTTAGATTTTCGTGTATTTGCAAAATTAATACTATCAAAATTATTACACTGAAAAATAATATGACGACATGATTAGAAGAACAATCAACATTTCAAGAGTGTTGGTCCAAAAAGTTATTGAGATTGGTTATTGAGCAAGATTGATGATCAGATTTATAAATGGCCCAAATTTTATTAGGCAATATGTTTATTTAACCATTATTAGGTAATCTCGATACTTTAAGAATATCGAAGAAGTACACATACCTCCTCATCAAAATTAAAATCATCGGAGACCTGAACTTGCCGTCGCATGTTCAAGCATTTGTTATAAGCCTTTTCGTCCGCATTCTCAATAATGTACCCTTCAGCATCAAGCGCTCCTTTACCGTTAGTACAAATCATATATTTCTCAATCATTTCCGTTAATCCATTGCCTTTAAATTGCTCTATGCATTCTTGCTTGTCTCTCAGTGTTGTGGACACTTCTCGAAGGGTTTCAGAGTTCCGATCTACTAGATCTTGGGTCTGGTGGGGAGAAGTGTTAAAACGATTTAAAGTCAACTGTGTTTTACAATAGGTCGTGAGCCCCTAATGATAAACTATTCATTTACCATATTCTCCACGCTTAGCAAAGGGTTTGGAGACAGTAATTTATAAAGTACCAAACTTTATGACAGTGTATTGTTGTCCAGTCTCTGTTAAATGTCATACTCAAACTCTGGGTGCTTACTCTTGAATCCAATTCCAATCGATCGACATTGACATTGTGAAATTTCGTACTCTTGAGTTGTAACACTAGCGCCTTTTGCATCCGTATTGCGTGGATATTTCATGAACTAAATGGTATCCGATACGGATGCAATGGGCGCTAGTGTTACAACTCAAGAGTACGAAATTTCACAATACCAATGTCGATCGATCGGAATTGGATTCAAGAGTAAGCCCCCAGGTCTTTCGACACCCACAAAAAGAGTAGAGTAAGTAAGAAATGTATTTTCCTCCATTGTGAACTCTCTACTCCATTGTAAAACAAAGTATAATAGAATTAGATTAAAGTCTACCTTAATGGAATTTTAGAGAAATAAGCAGATTTACCTTACTTCCTCGATCACGTCCCCATCCCAAAGCAACAACGCTACTACCTATTTTAGTATCCACGTTTAAATTGTAATTTATTTCAATTGCGGCCGGTGCGTAAGAACAATAGACACGGAACGACATATCCTCGAAGTTATACGGTTCTTCTACAGTCGCCACTCCAATGTCTAAAGTCATCCATTGTGTTGTGTTCTTGTACTCGTGTACGTGTGCTAAATGTTCTGTAATAAAGAAGTACGATTTTACGATCTAAGTATATGCTCTTATTAATCTCTAGCTTTTAGTCGCGGAGAACCTAACGGGTTACCGGGGCTCCGGCTCGACGTGCAGGAGAAGGAACGGAGTGGTTTTTAGTCAGTAAGTCTGACACTCCCTTCCGCCTCATCTAGGCGGGAGCAGTTTCTCCCCTTAAAAAATGCTTTTAGACACCTAGTTGGCACAAAACAATAATTTATGAGGAAATTGTACAACCAATATGAGGCAGTTGGTATATAATTTAAAAACTTTTTTTACAATCAATCACACTTATCGCTGGTTAGACTGATATGAATTCTGCAAGCTGACATATTTTTTTATGTAAATAAATAGGAATGATTCCGCCATCAAAAAGAGCAATATCAAACCACAGGAGATCAATTTGACAGTAAAAAAATGGATTTTATCATCATCATCAGTACCTAACAGGCTATGGCAATCCACTGATTAAGATTTTTCACCATAAGGCACCTTCATGATTGGTAGGCATATTGAAGATCGCACTTTATCATGTTTAGGAAACATGTTTGGTTCAGAGAAACTCACCCCGTGGTACTCGAATCTTAACAACCTTCTGTTTCTTCATCCTAGTACAGTTATCTGTATCCAAATCCATACCGCTAACATATTTTCTATAACCAGCTATGGCGTATATGTTGTCTAAATCTATGATGCAGGCGGCTGAAGTCAGTATTTGTGTTGTAGTGACCAGAGCTCCTCCGCAAAGCCAGGAGTCGTACATCTCTTTTGATTCGTGAACCTTTACTAAGTACACCTGAAGGCAAAGATAGGTGTTTTAAGGGAAAGAAGGCAGTGTTCATTATTATCAATAAGGAGGATTTTTCAAAGATAGGTGATTATGCCTGGTTGATTACTACCGACTGCCTCATTGGGCGAGTGGTCGCAAGTGCGACTGCCGAGCAAGGGGTCTTAGGTTCGATTCCCGAGTCGAGCAAAGTATTACTGGGTTTGCAAAAACCTCAGTAGTAGCACGGAGTCTGGAAATGTATAGGCTCACCCCCTATTACATGGGACTTATAACATAAATAGTGAAAAGTGGGTGTTACATTGTACAATGGTATAATGTACACCTCTACCTACCACTTCTGGTATAAAAGGAGTGATGTTTATGTGTGTGATTACTACCTGGACGTTGGGTTCTATAATCATTTTTAAAGGCCTAAGACCACTGCTATACTATAGACCTCTTCTATATGAAACGGCTTGCCATTGTCTGGCAGATGGATTGGACTTTTTTTATGGGATAGGAGGCAAACGAGCAGACTGATCATCTGATGGTAAGGGATCAGCGCCGCCCATGGACAACCACAACACCAGAGGAGTCACAGGTGCGTTGCCGGCCTTAAAAGAAATACGCTCTTTATCGATATTGAATGTCGCAATTAAAACCTTCAAATTCATTAGAAAATGCTTATTCTTCGTCTGTAGAATGTATCATCCTTTTGTTGGCTCCTGCGTCATCCGCGAAAATGTATTTAGCGACGGCGGTGGTGCCAAATTCTACTCTGACGTTACCATATAGCGTTCATATTACTTTAAATTGAATTTTACGCACCATGAACCCCTTCTCTGCTCTCGTACGCATACCTTTAACAAGTCTTCGTTGACACAAACTGACTGTAATATTAAATTATACATTAAAAAGTTAGAAAATAGTCTAAAACTGACTGCCATGTTGGCCGAGTCGCAAGTGCGACTACCGGGCAAGGGGTTAGTAGCACGGAGTCTG